CTTATACTAGCTAAAACAGCTGATGACGAAAAATAAACATCGGATAGATGTGATTGTACTGTTGCAAATTCTTGACGTGTTAACATACGTTGAACAGCACGACCTAAATTTGATGCTTAAATTATAGTAGAAATTAAATGAATTATTTCTACCATGAACAGTTGTCATCCAAAAACTAATACCAAATCCACCAGCAACACCAATAAGATGTAAAAATGAAACATTAGGAGATGATGAAACAGGTTTATTCTGTAATAAGGCATATCCAACATAACCTAAAGCACCGAGTGATGCAAGAAATGACGGAGCTAAATACCTAAATAAAATAAAATATTAAACAAAAAAAAAAGATTATTGTGATATTTACCAAGCTTGTGGCCATGTCTTTCTATAAGTATCATGAATAGTATCTTCAATTTTGCTGACTTGTGCTCCCATTGTATGGTTAGTTGTTCTTGTAAATAACGACGGTATCTACAATATACAAAAGAGGATAAAAAAAAAAGAACATTATTTATTTAGTTTTCACTACTATCTCGATAATGGTGAGTTTAGCGCCACCTTTTATAAAATATAACAAAAAAAAAAACTACCTCTCAAAATATGAACTATTTTACTAATACCAAGAACAATGAACACATACATTAAAAGCATTTATATTTCCATAGTTTACACTCATATCCATCGGTACAAAGATTGTCGAAAATAATATTTGATTGATCGATAATAAAACCAATGAGAAAGAATTTCTAATATCAATTGTTGATTAATTGTATACATCGTCAATATTGACTAATCGTGAGACATAATCTAAATAAAACTCCAAAATTGATATAATCTAAAGAGTAGAAGTATACTGAGGTCGCTAGGATAGCAGAGAGACACAGGTCGTTGACCTATGCTTTTGCTACACAGTGGGTTGAATTTGAAAAGAAAAAGGGGTCGAGCATTGTTGATAAACAACGCTGAAAGTTCACTCGGTATACCTTTGCTTAATATATATTAAAATGATTAATAATACATTATGGTTCTAATTTAAATTTAGATAAAAGTATGTGTCTAATATGAAAATAACATTGGGATATGTTATGTAGTTTAAATAATAAAAATATATGTATCAAAATTGAAAATAGACTTTCTTGAAAGAATGAATCATACATTGAACATCTTCATAAGAAGATATAATTTAATAAAAACAATTAATTAAATATTTCTCATAGAATTAATATTTAGTAAACATTGGTGTATATTGTGAGAAGAAATTCTTTGAGAAACTATTAACAATATTAATGTGCTTATTAATTATTTTTATAATAATCAATCATGTTCAATTATTGCTTATGATTTGTTTTCTTTAAATTTTCAAAATATATTTATTAATATTTATTTTCTAGACGAAAATGAATATCAAACGAGAATAAAGGCAAATGTAATGTATTTTAACATTACAACAATTATT